TAAAAATACGTTTATCAGCATATATTTGATTGATGTTGTCAGTTAGTTGACGTCTTTGTTCTAGTGGATCTTCAGGATTTTTACAGTAAGGTAAATCATTGATTGATTGTTTGATAATCCAATATAATTGTGTTTCTGGATAAGCTTCTTTGACTTTGGCTATAAAAGAAAAATTATTATGTAAAATTAAAATCGAGCCATTCTTTTGTTTAACTAGTCAATTAAGTAGATTCAAAGAAACAAACAACTTTTAAACAGCATAAAATTTGATAAATAAAAATTTAAGACAAGTTCTCAATGTTCAATATACTAAAATCTAATAGTTAGATTATCAGATTTAAATAAAAATTGCATAATATCATAATCACACATTTACCTAAATAGAGAGCCGATGTGGCTGCACTGTAACCTTTTCCAATAAGAACAATTCGTTTACCAGCAAGTTGTTCATATTTAAAATTCGGTATTAGATAAGTCATGGGTGATGGTATTTGAATTCGTAATGCTCGTTCATTAATGGCTGGTACATTATTAGGACCAACAAAATTTGGATTATTATATGTACCACTTGCATCAATAACACAATCGACAATAAAATATTCTTCACAGCCACTATCTTTATTTTCTACAAGAATAATAAATCTATTAGTATGATAACGACCAATTGAAATAACTTGATGCCGTAAACGAATATTTGGCTGTAAGTGATAGCTAACAGGACGTAGATAACATTCTATATATTGACTACCTGTTAAGAATGCATTATTGTCATGATCTTTTTTTAGAAGATCTTTTCCTAATAGTGACACATTCATGTGTAACGGGGTAAATAATTGAACATGTGACCATAAACGTATATTATTTGCAATATCATCACCTGTTTCAAAAATGATAAATTGATAACCATGTTTGAGTGCATGTAAACCACATTCCAATCCAATTGGACCACTACCAATAATACCAATGAAGAAACTCTGCTTGTCAAATGTCATATTATAAATTCTAAAATACCAATCAACTATAATTTTCCATTAAAAAATACCAATGAAACTATTTAAAGATATATGTATACTTTCAATTAACGTTCATCATGACTTGAGTCTAGTAGTTTTTTAATAAGAACTATAATAATAATAATAGTCACTGTACTGATAATAACATCGCATCTATTACTTACATCTTTACTTACGCTTTTGTTTTTATGTTTTCTCTATGGTACTGTTCTATGCACAATTGTCTCTCTCTCTCTCTTATATGAGCTTGTATTGTATGTGAAGTCAACACATTCTCGAAATACAACGCAGCTCAATAAACATCGTTAGCAAGGATAACGGTAAGCTATTCCTTCAGTTTGTTGTTACTGACATGGTTAAAAACTGATTCAACAAAAAACTTCCATTTTAGACAATAACATTAATAAGACTTAGATTCGAACTTCTTCGTTCTACATACTTTTGTTTTTCTCTGACTCAATGCTGATGTGGAAAACCAACTAATACTATTGTATTTCTTCGATTTTTTTCTTTCATATACTACTCGAGATACTGCTTCCCTGTATTCTTATTATATCCGTTGATAGTTTTTCCTCTGTTCTGCTGTAAAAGAACGAAGAAATAATTTTTTGCTGACAACTAATACATAACCACTTTAGAAGAAAATACAGACGAGTATTGCCTATTCTGGGTATATTGATACATGCATAAAATAGTAATAGACGAACGATGAGAAAAATGCGTTCTTATAACGTGTCACTGTAACATCAGATAAATAATGCAAAAACATGTTTCTCATTCAACAACAAATAATACTGCAATTTTTTGAAAGATTTTTATCTTAGTCATTCAGAGTGCTTTTGTTGTAAGAACTAAATGATATCGGTTTTAAAATGCTATTATTGTGCTACTTTATTTTTAATTGAAAAGTTTCAACTGATTAAAAACAAATATAGTGTGATAATATTACATATCTTATTCATCTTTTGTCGATTTGATTGACCAAAATAAATGAAACAAAATACAAGAAGTAAATTAGAAACTTTGACTGTAAAAATAACTTCGGCTTGTTCTCTATATTGCTCATTTATTCGGAAACCATTAACCCTGTTGAATGAAACAAAGTAATAAAAAAAAACAATTTTTAAAATGAGTGATGATATCAATTCGTAAAGCAGCTTGTCATCGAGTTTATCAATATTACTTAATTACATAGAACAAACAATAGAACGAAAAATGGAGAATATTTTTATTTTTTGAGTTATTTCTTTTATAGAACAGACATATGCTTTGATTTTTGTGAAATGACTAATAAGTGGTTGAAAGTATTGACTGGATATTGTGGATTTTCCAGTTCACTTAACTCTTTGATTTCATCTGAAATTTAGTAAAAATCAGTGGCAAAAACTGAAAATGACTCCCTACATAGTATTTCAAGTATTTTAACATGTTTATAACCATATTTACATGAAACGTCCAGTATGTCATAGTATTAACTCTTCTCTTATCAAAATTGATGTTAGCGAAGCATCTCACCTAAATGAACTGTGTTAATAATATTAATTGTGCTAAATATTTCAAAATTCTACGATGATTATTAAATAATGTTTGCACATAAAACACACTTGAGTAAAAGTTCGATTAAAAGCCTAGTATTTACCTAGTAGTAGTTCTGACGATCCGTTATGTCTAATCCATATGTCACGATGTTTTCCTAATTAGATTTTTTTTGACGTTTGCCAGTCATGATCATCTGTCCTGCAAACGAACTAGATGGTCATCATGAAAAAACAATGCGTTCATCACTATGAATATGTCGATCGAAACAAAACTATGTTACTTTTTTGACATTAGAACTAGCCATGTTACAGATCTTTTTCGAGACACTGACTAGATAAGTCACAATTTTCTGATGTCCATTGTATAGCACATTTTAAGTTTAATAAATACAAAGATTGGCAACGATACATACGATAGATTGTAGTGTTAAATACTAATCACACGAAGGATAGTCTCGATGAAACCAAATTAAGAGAAGATGAGATTTGAGCGTACATAAAATATGTCATCTTACTTCGTCGTTCAGACATTTGAAGTATATGATTAACTGAGAAATTTTGATATATTCATTAAACATTTTTAGACCGTATTTAGTAGAATTTCACTTAGAGTTTTATATTTTGCTATGAATAAACAAATTTGTATCACGGAAGATAAAGTTAGTTGTATAAGGCTGAACAAAAGAAATTCATAATAGGTTTTATCGAGTTTGGGAGGCATATCTTCTGCTCATTATGAATTTGGAATGATCAATTCATACATAAAGATACTTTAATGAATGCAACAACGAGATAAAATTTATTTGAATTCAAAAGACATTAATTTCATAAAATGATTACTCTATATCATTTTTAATTTAAATTGCCCAATTCGAAATTCTTGTATAATTGAAATTGATTCCTTACTAAACTTAAATAAGCAGAATGAGGATATCAAAATGTTTTAATCCTTTTTAATCTTCTTTTCACATCTCATGAATTTTGTCATAGACAAAGTAGCACCTCTCGTCTCAGAAAATACAACAACAGTATTTCTCGATAAACACCTGCATAACTACGTGTTTTGTTCATTGTAATGGTTTTGATAATTAAAACATTTTGGTTTAAGTACGGCCACTATTGTTGCTTCTCCAGAAGCTTTATTAAAGTAACTCTATGGCCGAAAGCATTTACATTTAATCGATTAATCGTGATCCCAACAAAACGAACGATTAGCTGAGTTTTTTCTTACAAAAATTGAAAAATAACACAAAAAATTTTATTTGTGTTCGAATTAAGTTACGGTCAAAGTCGCATGCCATTTACATTCTTGATGACTTCGCAGATCTCTACTTCTTGAAGACGTATACTATATAGCCTCGCCATTCATGGACTAGACAGAATTGCAAAGATGTACACACAATTATAATAAGAAATATTAAAATACGAGTCATTAAATATTTTATCATCCCTCGATTTCATCATTGACTTGCGAAGACTCTTCTTGTGGTCACTCATAGGAAAAAACAGGAGTGTAGTCTTAGAAAGAAGGGTTTGCTACCCACACTGATAGAAAAAATTCAATTTTTTGCAAGCAAAATCGTATTTTTTTCTTAAGAAAAAGATAGCATAATGAAAATAGAAAGTTTAGCATCTTCCACTTTTAAAAAAATTCTATCTGAACCTTTGTAAGTCTCAAAAACTTTTCCTGCACTGCTCCTTCCTCCTCCTCTCTACTATTTTCGTTTCGCTAATACATCCTTGTCTTCACTAATTGACAATGTAATTAAAGAATGTTAATTTATCATTGTAAGTTCAAGTGGCTACGATATGATTACAGATAAGATTATTCGCACTGTTTCTTCCAAATTAATCTTACTTGATGTTGATTTCTCAAGAAGAATTTCATGATTATATTTTTGATGAAACTAATTTGATGGCATTCTTTTAACAAGTATTTCGTTAGATGGAAGGAATATTTATGATGGTATTGTTTTAGGTGAACAATTTAGTCAAGCACCATCATTAACCAGTGTCACTTTTCCTCACAATATTTCTCATCGTTAGCTGTTCATGATTGAAATTCTGGACATCAAAAAAGTTTTTTGTGTCATAACTATTGAGAGGTTCACCTAAGATTTCGTATTTTACATCTTTTATATATATAGACGAATACTTCCATTGAAAATGGAACTTTTAAGAAATTGACAAATGAATATCGACAATATTTTGCGTTGAAATTCAACACGTAAATGAATTTGGTTTTTCCAAGAAGCACAAATATTAAGTTATGTTGCGTAAGAAAATGAATATGGTCAAAAGACAACAATGAAAACAAGTACAAAACAATGTTTTTCTCAGAAATTTCTAATAGGGGAATTATGCTGTTGTGACGCATATAGAAAAGCTATTGAATACTAATCTTTTGCCTGATTCTTTAATTATTCTATTTAGAAACAAAAAACAGATTTTATTTAATATTTTTGTACAATATTGGATTAAGATTGTCATCATTGAAAACAGATACACCTATTCTTAATTCATTCATCTGTTTCTTTGTTAAAATATTCTGTTTACCATTAAATATCATATTATCCGGCATCCTAAATAAATAAATAGCATTACAATACAATAAGTGTATTAAGATTTTTTTTTCCACAAAATTTGCTTACATCTGAATCGCCATTGCAGCTCTTCTTTCTGATGTCATATTAGCACCGGCACCATGAATTAAAAGACCACTATGAAATGAAGCACTTCCTGCCTTCATAGGTACAGCCACTGTTGGCCATTGCTTTAGCTCGGAATAAGTATTAAATATATCAGAAAGATTTTTACCAATCTTTATTTCCGGAAAAGTATTATTTGCTACATAATAATGACGTTCGGTAACCTAAAAAGATCTAGTTGAAAGATCGTCATGAACTAATACAAGTTTGAGCATGAAAATAGAATTCTAACTCTTAGCAGAAAGAATCTTTTTTCAATATTGAACCTTATTTTATTTCTAGGAAACACTTGACTTGAACAAAATCGAAGGAAAACAAGAGATAAAAAGAAGCGTTATTGAATTCTTGTATCTATAGATCAGATTTTTGATGATTTTCCACAAAGTACATAATCAATTAATGAAATTCAGAATATTTTTCATTTGTAAAATAGTCTTACTTTATGTGATCCAGGCATAAAATACATGCAACCATTTTCCAATGTTGCATCGTCTAATGCTATCCAGACACTTATTGCATGTAAAGAAGTAAACGACCAATATGGAACATCAAGATGCCTTCGTAAAAAGAAAAGAGATGAATATAAAGAAAATGAAACACATCCCAATTCTACCAGGCCGTAGGATTTGCAAATGGTTCTTTAATTAAGGCTTGATCATGCCAAATTCTAACACAATCAATACCTTCTAATTCAGCAGCAATTTTTCCAATAACTTCTCCACTTTCTAATAAAATTTGCTTGACAGAATCATGTGTTTGCCACAGATTAACACTCTGTGTAAAGACATTATCATAATAATCGAAATCAATATTGGTATGATCTTCTTCATTCACTGTAGGAAATTTATACTTTCTCTCGGCTCGATCTTTTATTGCACTAAATATGATTGTTCGCCATTGTTTAAGTTGCGAAGGAGAAAGAAGATTAGGTATAACATAATAACCATTTTCACGATAAGCGTTAATATCAGCAAGCGTAAGTGAAACGGAATTTGTGACAGGACCAGAAAGTGGCGGTGTTGGTGTTATTGTAGGCAAAGAAGACATTCAACGTATTAAGAAGTACTTACAAATCGTCTTCTTTCTGCAGAATTTCGGTTGTATTTGTCTTAAGCAAAATTTCCACGTATATAAAGTAATAACTTTCTAAAACTTAAGAACTAGCAATAATACCACATAGTTGTAAGTGTTTAAAAAAAAACATTTTATCGATTGCGCACATTTCTATCGACTCAAACTGCTTCACATGTCTATTTATGTCTATCTTTCATAGAGTTTAAATTGATCGTGATAACAATAACAATACAAGAATAAGAAATGAAACAGCTGTTATCAATATAAAAGTAGGCTGTGAAACTTTGTGCAATAAATGAAAAGCAGGCGAACGACGATGAGTTGCCGACTTGCAGATTTTATCTCTGTGCACAGAAAACCGTTTTAAAAATAACTTTTCATTCAACATCTAAATTTATAATTAACATCTTTATCATATGTTTAACACATTATTCAAAATTGAAATCATGGCAAATGCTATACATGTGACCCAATATATGTATAGATATATGCCAACTTCTCACTGTGCTGGTTAACTATTAACCCATGTTTTATCGTGTATAGTTTATGTCGTTACAGAAGTCGAACTTCTTTTTATATATAGGCATAGTCATACTTTAGACATATAACAACGCAACAAAACTTAAAACCTCAACTTTATGCTCATAAGTTGTTAGTAATAAACGTCCTTAATACTTCCTGAGTATTTTTTGTCTTTCTTTTATCTTTAGAACCTGCATATCTAATTGTAAGGAATTTCGCCACCTGAATTTCGACAGTTTTGCATATACTCATCTATATATTCTTAAGAAAAAAAAATAGCAAAATTTTTGTTCATCTATGAGTCATAGTGGAATGAAGCCAGAAAATTGAAGAAACTCTATTATTTTGACAATCTTTTTATTGTCAAAAACTCGTTTTACTATATATCCAACAGATTTGTATAAAAACGCATGTTGTATCTTTTGGAAAAGTATACGTCAAAATGGTCAGTAATAGCAAAAATATTTCGTAGATATTGAAATGCTTATTTTTTCTACTAGATTCTATATTAGATGATGTAGAATTATCAAGCCACCTCATGAGAGATACTCAGGTGAGATCGAAATGTGTCTTAGCTCATTACATTTGTTATCGTATATGATGTTGTACGAATATAGGAAACTTCACTGAAGTTTAATAATATGATAGACTTCGCATAAAACCATCTCATATTTTCGAAATTGGAAAAGTTTCGTAATATACCTCCTGAAGGTACCATAGTCGAAAGCTATGTCCTGAGCGTTTCTCTTGTGCATCTCATTTATAATAGAGGAAGATATCCTCTAAGCTTAGAGTCGACCAATCTGAATTTGGTACTTTGTTTGCTTAGTCACTAAACACTTTTGAATCGAATTTAGATATTTCATCATCGTTCTTAGTTATCATATGTCTGATAAGTAGACGTTTTTGGAATACAATAAAGAACGGTGCATCTATTCCACAATCAAGATTTACTCGCCGAGTCTTTGAAATTTCAAACACTTTGACGAAATAAAACATATTATCTGCTCGCTCATTAGTTCTCCATGGTTTTATTTCATGAATATCTATTTTCATGAATTTTGTTATAGTTTTTGTCATGGCTATTGTGTGAAAACATTGAACTTGCAGATTACTGACGATTGTTGAATAAACGAAATTGCAAAGGTCATGTATTAATTTTTGCGTTACCTTGTCTTGCTAGTTCTTGTCTTACTTTGTGACGAATGGGAAAACTGAACAGAAGTAGAGGTAGAAACATATGTATAGATATAGCATTATGTGCATAGATATAGAGCATATGCACTAGTATAAACGAATATAGAAACATATATAGAGATGGCAGCGTCGAACCTGTGATTACTTCCAAACCTTAAATGCTCTAGCTGAATTTCGAATCCAGGAGTTAACGCGTCGAATGTCAAATTGACGGAGAAATTTTCGTTAAAATCTCTATTAGTTTATTGATAGATGCTGTATTCGAATTCTAGTTGGTGAACTGTATTGAAACAATATCATTTGACGCAATACTATTGTCTATAAAGAAAGTAAATAAAAACTCATTATGTTATAAATAATTTTTTACAGAAGAACAATCTTTGTGGAAAATTATCCAGAAGTATTTGAGTCCGAACATAATTTCTTCATCGATGGTTGTAATGCCAGAAATGTCATTGTTACAACACAGCTCATCAACACGAACTCGATTTTAACTTCTATGTAGAGATTAATGTAGATTTCATCGAAAGTTTCTTCCTCGATTCGCCTAGATCAATCTGAGTTTGGACATAATCTCAGTTCAGACTTCGGTACATATATAGGAATTTGGCATAGATATGGGGAGTGAGAATTAGATATAATGATTAGAGATCTATATACAAGGTAGACGTAATTATTGAGTGCTGACACATAAGTATAGATGGCTAAACATAGATGCTAAGGGATATATATAGACTGAATGGTATTTGATTGCATGCTATAGGAAACTTCGATTCTGAGACTTTGTTTCAAGACAAAACAGAACAATGTTCTACTACAGTTTCTATTTTTCTTACTGTGAGTTTGCAAATACTAGAATTGTCGACTCTTTGGTAGCAAAGAAACGATTCTCTGTTCATTTTAGAACCACATGAGACTAATCAAGATTCAAGCTATCGTTTGAGATCTCTAGAAGGGTAAAACCATGTTATCACATCTTTATTCCTTCTGATACTGGTATTGATCTGTCATCTTGCTTTCTTGGCAGAAAGATAGAACAAAAAAGCATCGCCTCTGTAAATTGACAAGTTACTATTCAAATATTATTTTAATAAATACATTATAGCCGTCGTCTATGTATTTATTTTTTTGATCAATTATAAAATAATGCCTCGTTGTACACAACTATTATCATCACCAAGAACGAAACAGCCCATCTATGTCTTGAAATAACTACTTTTAGAGAAAAAGAAAGTAAAACTATCACGTAGTAGCACAAAAGACTCACAATTGCGTCCTTGATAACTATTCCTCGAATCTCTTCATCAAATTGTATATAAACGCAAAGCAAATTGATTTTTTCCTATTTTACCTTATTACTTCACATAGGTACTTCTGAAAGAAACAAATATCGGCAATGAATCTGCTCATCTTATTGTGTCTGGGTATATGGAGCAAGTATTTCTTTCATTTGAGTAATATGTATATTCGGTAATCTCTATCTGTCTAGCATTAATATCCATTACAGATGGCTTAAATTGTATTGTATGTTCAAGTGCAACTAATTCAGCATGTGATGATCCTAATAATTTGCATATGTCAACTTTGAGTAGTTTATCACAACCAGACTTTATTTCTTGCCTTGTAAGTGACCATTCCCACACTATGCTCATCATTTTTTTATGGTTTCCTTTTATCAATTAGAAAACATATTATCAACTGGCATTGGGTCATCCCTCGACAAACATAGTAGTTCGTGAGGGCTCACATCGTAGTTGCAGCTCGGCTACAAGTATTGGCTCTATCGGGATAGTGTATTGTTGTTCAGATAAAGACAATTGCAATAGAGCAACAGTTCATTCTACATCGATCATTGCTAATATATTGCTTATGATCATTTCTTTGTTTGCCAAACGATTAGTTCTATGCTGAACTGTCAATGCTTTGCCGTATTTGGCCAAGATACTTTCAAAAATTAATTTTGTCCGTTACTTCATTCAATTTGCGTATCGTAAATTATTTTCGTCTTTGTGTCTTTTTATTTGAACGAAAATTCCCTGAAAAACCTTATTTAATTATAAACGTTGAATGAAGAAAATTTGAATTCTTTTTGAACCTTGGTAATCACATGTGACATGATGATAGTAAAACAAAAGAAGCTGCAAAATCATTTATTAACATTTATTTAGTGTACTAGTACAGGAACAAAAAACTGTAAGGTTGGTTGATTTAAGAGAATAGTCCGACATTCATTTCACTCACTCACCCGCCTACATCCTACAGAAAACTACGCTCTCTTTCTTGTTTTCTTATCTATATTGACAAATTGAGATTCTTCCCGATGGATTACGATCCCTATGTTTCGGTTTTTCGCTGCAAAGGACATTTACATGCGACACAGATTTCGACAATAGTATTGAACTGTCAAGATGCAGTTCAACACAATATAAATCTAGAAAAAAAACATCGAAACTGAATCAAATTGATCAATGATTATCTTTGATTTAGCTGTGTCAAAATGCATAGAATGCAATCTTGTTGACTTTAGCTTTTTTGTCTTCTGTATTTTCAAAAACTAGATTGATCTATTCTCGTGAATGTTGGACTAGTCCAATACAAGGTAATATTGTCTGATAAAGATTTAATTTTTATGCATATCTGGATTCATTGATTTTTTTGGAAATATCAGAGGACAGAAAGCTCACAAGACTCCTGAGAAGTATGCTGTAAAAAAACATCAAGCTGGAAGTAGAAGTTGCAGACGAAGCTAAATACCACTTATGGGATATATGATAAGTGTTATCGCTACTGGCTTTTCTTGATCGAAGGCGACATCCTGAGCACAGCACTATATTGGTATTCGACGGTGAACGAATGAAATCAAATGATCAGGTATTGCCACTATGTTTATTTTTCTTTTGTCTTTCCTTTAGGCTTTCCTTGTCATGTGTTTTGCCTCCCTTATCTACTTTCTTTCTGTATAGGGATTTTAATCTTCACTCTATGTCTTTGATACAGGTAAGATTAATGAATAAGCAAACGATATTATTACATGACAGTAAAATATACGTCAGCACTACCTACTTGTTTGGTGTCTCATAATAGTAATGTAATGACATAAAAGCAAGAACGAGAGAAAAAAGGATATCATGCGTATTGTATAAGGAAAGACGTACGTGTTGTATATTAAATAGTGACGAAAATTGCGTCCTTGTGATATATTACGTTTGATATCCCTGTTGTGAAACAAAAAACTTACAAAAACAATGATAGAAAACGATATTGAACAGCTTGCTACAGCACTTATCTGCACATCACCTTCTAGCGAGACACTATACAACATCAGATATCTTCTTGACAAGCAAACTTCTGAATCGTTATCGTCGTTTGTCTCAGAATCATTGCCACAGTTACTCATAATTGAACATTGGACATGGCAAGAGCTTAGCAAAGGTTGTCTCCATTGGAGTGATAACAATTACTATGCAGACTTGCTTCAAACAATGGTATCCTTTAATAGAGAACTACTTCGAAATGTCAATGTCGAAGCTAACATAAAAGCATCTCTTCTCATTCCTGATGTTGTCGAGTGGATCAATGCAGTATTCGACAGAATCGAAGCAACTATCGCTGAAGATGATCCGCTATGGGTGATAGCCAGTCAATGGTTCGATGTCCTTTCATATTTCATATATGACCATGTTCAATTCGTGAAATGGCCTGCGATCATGCAAATCAATCAACGCATTGAATGTAACTTTATTATGGCAGAGCAGTTTAAGTTATACTTGATTCAACTTCATCAACCGAATCTATCCCAAACTATCTTCAGTCCAAAGCAGTTATTCTACATAAAAACATGTTCACTCTCGATAAAAGTCTACATTTTTGCCAATGTTCAACATTTTCCATATACTGGTGGACAAATCCTTGAACATCTCGCAGATGATTATTTTCAAATGATGCTTGTCCAAAGTCGCAATGTCAGTTCATGGACTGTCGAACTCCTCGCATGTGTTGCCCATCTGAGTAGCTTTGTTGCTTCGTGCTGTTGGTGGGATACTAATATGACATCACATATTAAAATACTTCTTCCTTGTGAGGAAAAAGCGTACGAATTCGTACAAGCGCTCATTCACATTGTCAATTACACACCATTTCATGAACGTATTACAGTTGAATGGAGCAATGAAGAAACAATGCTTCTTGAATCTAATCTATTGTTATTATTAACTTCATTGGATATAGAAAATTTAGGCTGTTTCACCCGTTCAAATACATCATTGTTGGACACACTAGTTTCGGTAGCTGAAACATCATCTTTCGATCGAATTTGTCTATGTGCATATGCCATACTTTCTCGAATTCTATCTGATGAAGACTTGAAAGAAATGAAAGTTGTCAATAATATGTTTCAGCTCTTTATGAATATTCTTGAACAAGCATGGAATCATCCATCGCAAAAATATCAACAGATGCCTGTTTCAAACCTTTTGAATAGTAAGTAAGAGTTTTCTTTCGAATATTTCTGAAAGAGTATTCAAACAATCTTCGCAGAATCATGATTAAAATGTAGATTGATTAACATAGTAGCGCTGAAAATGTAGAAAATATATGTTTCGATTTGAGAGTGTCCAGAATCGTTCGATCGCTGTCTGATTGAGATTATGTTGAGTACTACTAAAGTGTAACAGTCTTCATTTGTTTGAGCATTTGTATTGGAGAAATCGATTTTATTAATATAAAAGCATAATTATCCTTATGCCACCTTAACAATCTAAGTACAATTCCAAAATTTGTACAAATAAATCTTTGAATAACATTAGATCATTATGAGATTTTTGTAGATCATTGTATTTTCTACTTTGAATATGAACACAATAAGAATGTTTCATTTTATCAGAAAGTGTTCTCTATTCATGTTTTAGAATAGGAAATACAAACATCCGTGAAATGTCCACAGTACATTAGTAGTGTTGAGAACTTTATTTATTCGAAGTTTTAAGTCGCACTTCGAAAACACGGTCCATCGCTTTAAGTTATTCTCAATCAGAAAGCGGTTGAACACTCGATAGAACGCCTTTATGAGTACCACTTTGGACTCGTAGAGTCCCCATTATTGATTAGCGATTGAGAAAAACTAGTGTTTTAGTAATCGACGAAGTATCACTCATCTTCGCAATCCGTCCTTCAGAATTGTAGCCATTCGAAGTAAAATATGAACTTTCCTACGGAAAAAAATGAATGCTCAGCATTAGATAGACTCAGTTCTTCTACTGTGTTCAAAAATACAAAGCTTTCAGGAGCGTCATCTGTGATGCCTTTTTTATTTTCATAATTTTTAGCTTAAAAAGTGGTTTCAGAAAACCAAAACGATTTTGAAGATTTCAGAAAATATCTTAAAGTTCTAAGATTTTCAGCTCAAAATCCTGAAAATTAGCCATAGTTTGATGTAAATATACTAATCTTAAAATTCCACTATCTCGAGAAATTAATTAATTAATTAAGGTAAGATCTTCTAATGGGGAGGAGAGGGATAATATCATGTGTCCTTCCAATTTCCAAATGAAATTCAAAAGGTCAAACGTTAAGGTAGAGATCTCTTTTAGTTTTCTATAACAGTTAAGAATCGATGAATTAATATTTTATATTGCATCTGTATTATTGCTCAGGATTTTTAATCCTATCAAGCAACGATTCGGTTCAGCATCAAATAGCTCATTCGAAGAAGTTACCATTTCTAATACAAATGTGTGATCGTTATCCTATCATTTATGAAATTATGTGGGCTCTATCATTCAACAGTAGAATCCGAGAGCAACTTCGAATTGATCAAGTCTTTATGCACAAATTAGTTCAGCTCGAAAAAGATTGTCATGATGAGAAAATGCGTAAGATTGCCCATGGAATCTTTTGGAATTTGGAATTGAATCATGATGAATATGCACTATCAGAGAAAAACCTCGGAATAACATTTGATATTATGATCAGCTATTCACACGTCGAAAAAAAAATTTGCCAAGAACTCTACGAAGAACTTACTCGAAAAGGATTTCGAGTATGGATTGATTTTGATCAAATGCATGGCAATGTCATGGATACAATGGCACACGCTATTGAACATTCAAAAACAATTATCATTTGTATGAGTGAAAGCTATAGACGTAGTAGCTATTGTCGAGCAGAAGCAGATTATGCATTTCAGCGTCAACTCAAAATTGTTCCTATTCGTTTACAAAAACACTACAAACCAGATGGTTGGCTTTTGTTTCTTATCGGACAATTATACTACGTTGACTTTACGAAATACGATTTTCCACAAGCTTTCGATGCATTAATGAAAGAAATCAAAACTCCACGTTTCTATGATACTCCTAAACGGATTGTGGAAGTTAACCAAGAATCTGACGAAGTAAGCTTCAGTTCACCGGTACAGTTATCAACATCTCTGCCATCTGTGCTTCCAGATAATGTACTTGATTGGTCCCAGGTACAAGTGTCACAGTGGTTGATTGATCATAATCTCGTGCACATGGCTCGTCTTCTTTGTGATTATGATGGACGAAGTTTGATCTATTTCAATGAGTATCTTACTAAAGTAAATCCTCAACAAATGTTAACATTTCTTCAAGAGGATTCACTTCGACGAACCAATCAGTCTTTGTCGGTGGTTGAACTAGCTCGTTTTCGAAGCATATACGATAAACATCAGCAAAGCCTTGTCCAATCGACAACAGCAAACGAGCGAAAAAAGGAAAATGACTCTGCAGCCATGTGTCTTATGATGTAGACATATATTTGTTCATTCACTATAAACTTCAGATAAATAATTATTTCATAGCCTACTTTAAAAATCAGCTTTGCTTAAACAAGAGAGGGTATCACCGATTGCAAGTCACAGAATTATACTGGGAAGTGTAGACATTGATTAACTACAGTTTCCATGATAAACATCATCGTATGATGAATCTCTTCTTGAATCCAGCTCAGCTATACTAAATTTGGAATTTATAACACTGCTACCCACGTTTGTATCACAATGGCCGCAACTAATTACAATTTAACACCATGTAGAGAAATATAAATGTGTCATGAAAACCTCAACATACTGTTCACAGTAGAGTTTTGTTTCTTTCTACTCTAACTCATTATGAGCAATAGAGATCCTTATTATTCATCATGGGTGAAATCTGATGGATTGGTTGACCGATCAGGTTGAACTTCTCATTAGTTTTGCTTATGAATGGTTCGTTTTATTTTAATGACTTTTCTGCTGTCACAACTAAGAAGATTTCTATGTCGATTATTGTATATGTACATTCTATCTATGACGATGAATTCTCGTATAAAAATAAAGGGTATCGTTGTGGGTATGGGTGTGTGTGTGTGTGTGAGCATCAATGTATGGTGAGATCCTTGCCATGTTTCATACCCACACTCGCACGCACACTGTTTAAGTTCTTTCTGCCTATCAGTTCTTACGAATCCATCTCTCATAGATTTCTTGAATTTAGTTTTCATCTAAAAGAGATATTGTGCTGCTCATATCCTAAAATTGTTTTGATCGTGGTTGTGTCAGAAATACTGTTTCAAGAATGATTGCTCTGCCAACAACTATTGTAGTCAAAATTTGTCTTTCGATTCAAACCAATTGTGACGTGTGTCGAAGTTATTATTCGATTTTTAGTGACAAATTAGGGTGACAAACTGCAATAGAATGCAGTTTTAGACTACTAGGCATATTGAATAGGCTTTCTTCTTGTTGTTGGAACTAAAAATACCACCATCTCAGAAAAACTTTCATATATGAATTCCAATTCATTTGAATTTTCTGAGCGACAATTAAATTGGTTCACTAAGTGATCATAGTTCTTTTGAAGGAAAGAACCGAATCCTAACGAAAATCTCACATACTGGCTATTTTGCCTAGCAGTCATCGGCCAATGCCCAACTTAGTTCAATCGAACAAGCTGTTTCATAAATAGCTTTTTATAGCAATCATATACACTCTCGGGTGTAGATATTCTTGAAGTGAGTCGTATTTCGTTTAACCAGTTTGTACACATTTATGATTGAATGAATTGATTCGCCAACATGAAATGAACAAGGAAGATAACAACCGAAATATTACTAAGTTTCAAGAATGACTATGCACAAGGGAAAGACTATAATGATGCCGCGGGTCCAAAAGAATGGTTACATAGAGGTGATAAACGATACTGTTTAAAGTATTGTAAGAAGGCTATGTTTTTCAAATGCAGCTATCCTTTGCAATGTGTCCTGTGTTATTGGTGCAACAGTCGCATTTTTCTGTTTTTTCACAGTCAGTAGCAGATGTGATGATCTGAGGATTGGAAAACGAAGTAGGAATATCAGGAGAAGAACAAGTCTTGCAACAGCCTCCATTGAAATCCTTATTTCGAGCCCATGCAATCATTTCCCATCCTTCATGACAGAAGAAGAAACCGAGCACAATGGCGATTGCGCTATCAATCCACCATCCACCATGCCATAATTTGTACACTAAACTGCCGATAAAAAGGACAATGGTAAGATAAATGCATGCAAGAGAGCAGGCTGCTTCGCCACGCATAACAGAACTATTGAGTTCAGTAGCGATCCATGGTTTAGGTAACCAGACAAATAGCATGCATACAAGTGAAGCAGCCGCAACAATGAGAGAAGGTTTCGAAGAGTCAGGTTCTGCATGTGTAACAAGAGCTACAATCGAGGCAGCCCAAGTGCCGAGAGTTAAGAAAATAAATAAAATACCGATCCCAAGAGTAGCTCGTCTCTCAAGAACTAGATTGATGGTTGAATTACTCTGGAGTTCTTTACGAAAGCGGTAAACGACCAGTGCAGCTGAAAGTACTTCCACCAACGATTGAATACCAAAAACGATCAGCGCTCGTGCAACGACATCAGCACCAAGTCCAATAGACACACCACCTTCAATACCATTGTAGATTATGCTAATCCACGAGATGGTCAATGCAAAAATACGCATACGATGTTTGTCATACTTTCCTTTTGGAAATAGACGCTCTACGAAACTGAACGGCATGTTCTGAAAATAAAGAAAAACGGACAATATGATAATATGCTGTCGACCAAAATGTGCACTCTCATCATAAGATAACAAGATGTGAATGTATGCTGTGACACGAGTGAAGAACTCGAATATATCTTGAGTGACGAACGATAAACTTTATTTACTTCTCTATCTTAATCACCATCTCATATTCTCGTAAGCATGAGAATGAAAGTGAAGATATGAGGTTATCAAAAAAAAAAAATTATCAAAAGCCAACACGAAATTTTAATCAACGAATGATATTGTTATGCATATTATATATACTACTGACCTAAAGTATTACCCCTCGAATCTTAGTTCAAATGAAAGTTAGACTTCTGAAAATTCCTCTACATGTAGTTCATAGACAACGTACATCAGCAGTAACATCAGCGCCAAAATCATTTAATCTAGAAAGTAGTTACAACAGGTGGTGCCTACGATCGCTGTGAATTTCGTAATTTCAGAACAGATAAACTTCTCGAACCGTTCAATCTCTCATTTTGTAGTTCTATACTTTAGCTATTTCTGGTATAAATTTTGCCGAAGTTCATAAAGCTACCAACGAACTAGGCCACTTTTACTGAAAGCATAGATATACAAAAACAAAGTATAGAATTCAATTGAGTGATCAAAGACTCAACGATAGTTTGATGAACCAATTTTGAAATTTTCAGGAATTGTTCTACTATTGTTTTCTGAAAGTTTCAAAAGCAAGCACTTCACGAGACAAAAATGACGCATCGTTTTCGAACGGTTTTTACCGTAATTATGAACGCTATCTATTGTAGCTTGCTTCTAACTTGACGGATTTTGACGCTGATGTTACTGTTGGTCTATATTTTTTATGTACTACCTGCAACAGATTTTTCAAACGTTTACTTCTTATAGCACTTAAGATCCAAGGAGAAGATACTCTTTGCCGGTAGTGTGTGTCAGTACTAACAAATTATAAAACCTTAAATTGTTTGTTTTACATTAAAAACATCGCTGAATTGTGTTGTTCTTTGAAAAAAGATGTCATATTGCCTGTTTTAGAGTTCTAGATTTTTGTATAATATTCTGAATCTTTGTAAGTTTTTGCGAAAAAGACTTGAATTTAGAAAGGTTTTTGTCAGAAACTGCGGAACCGAAACAAGTACTATAAGCTTTGGCAAGAACTTTAAATGTTTCAGCAAATGGTGTTCAAACTTAGAACCTTAAAAGGTTCATTATGAGACTTTTTGCTAGAGAGATGAGTGTTTTTGATAAATAAAAGGTAAGACCTTCGGAATATCATTATTGCTCATTATGAAAATGGTAAAAAAGCCTCAGAATTCTCGAATAGTTCTCCTTTTGATTCATCTATTTCGTCTTTCTTTTGTTTACACATCCGCATTAACCACACCATTAAGATATCGGGTGTGAGTGCAAGTGTAAATGTGAAGTGCATAGCGGGATCCTTGCTAAGTCCTACACTCACACCCGTCACCTCTGCAACAAGTCTTAGTTAGACGTTGTAAGCTTCTTTTATAAGAATACAGATAGTCACTCAGTCAATGAGAATCAAGTTTTCAATCGAACAGAGGAAGTTGTCGAATGTTATATTGTTGTGACCTCGCAGAACGTGCGTTTCAGTCTAACTGAAAGGTTTTCTAGTTTCTCTATTCCGAAGTAAATCATACATTGTTGTTTCGAACGCAAAGATAAGCTTTATTAAAGAAAAAACGATACATAAATGAATCGGGATTACAATAAAGATAAAATATCAAAGATTTCTTTTGTGTATTTTTTCAGTAATACATGTATTTAGAGAATGCTACTAGTTTAAAAGTGACCACAACATTCTTCTGCGCGAATCTTCAATTGAGTCTTCCAAACGTCGTTGTGATGCTTCCAAGTCTCGTTTCAATCTGTTATTTACTTCGCGCATTTCGTCTTCATATGACTGTATTTCTTTTTTGGCTTGCTGTATCACTTGTTCAGCGTCAGATTTTGTCCAGCCTGTAAGTGGATCGCGCCAATTACGATCAACGCTTTTTTCTGCCAAAGCCAAAGTTCGCAAAGCGAGTGTTTGTTGATTATTAAAATATAATACGGGATTTTGTATGTATTTAAACTGATGATGTGTATGCTTCTTGCCGAAACAGTTTTCACATAAGTCATAACTTGGAGGACATTCTTGACATTGATAACGCTTCCCATTAAATGATTTTAATGAGCATCCATCACATGTGACACCCAAGTGGTAGTAATCATGCGCTACTTTTTCCCAAGTGCTTGCTGGACTTTTGGAGAATGTGTGTACAGAAGGATGAAAGGTATTCACAAGAGGATAACATTGACTGCATACGCCATAACTATTTGGACATTGTTGACATTGATAACTTATTTCTTTTTCGGCACCAAATACTCGGTAACAACGACAACAATAAGCTATACACATTTTCAAAAAATCATCACTAGCGAATATTGATGAATTAGACGACGTCTGCAATGAAAAAACATTTCTTGCACAATAGAGCTGGAACATTTTTTTTTCTCTTGATCTCTTACAGATGAACTTAAGGTTTCGTTATTATTTAAAGTTTTGGATGATGCTGCAGCAGAAGCAATGGATTTGGAGGACGGTACAACCATTTCACTAAGTGGATGAAATAATATACCTGCTCGATTATGTTCCTTTTTTTCACATGACTGACAAACGAAATGATTGACACATTGACGGCACTTGTAAA